CTCTCTGTCGAGGGAAGGTAGGCGTGGAGTTTGCGTAGGGGTTGGTCGCTTTGCGCATGTTCACAGACGACTCGGAGATAGGGGGCGAAGGCGGGGTAGCGGTTGACGACGTAAGGGATGATTTAGCGGGGGGCGTGGCAAATACTGGGGAAGATGTAACGGTGCCAGGCGAGCGGTCAAAGATCTCCAAACTCTGCGGAGTTGCCGGGCTGCGATGGTACAAAGGAGTAGGCTTGCGGCGCCGCATCCCATGTCCTTCGGTATTTCGAAGCTTCTCTTGGATGATCTCAGCCTCAATCTTCAGATCCGACAGCTCGTCCCGGAGACGTTGGTTATCAATGCGCAGCTGCTCTCGCTCCTGCTCTCCATTTCTAATTTCCTCCTCTAACAAGACCCCGCGCTCGATGCCGATGTTGTATTTGGACTCCATGTCCTCCAGGGACGAGGTGGTGTTCCGGGCTTGGCGCTCGTAGTCATCGTTGGCAACTTCAATGTCTCGAAGCTTGAGCTGCAAAGTGCGGTTTGCGTCTCGAAGTGTAGTGATTTCTTTCTGAAGGTTGTTCTGCACAGAGTTGCCTTCGGATTTCGATTGCTTGTATTTGGTCTGCCAACGTAATATTAGCACCCGCACAATTGTAAGCTATGGACATGATCCCATACCTTCCACTCGTCCACTTCATATCGCATCGTGTCGAGCTTTTCCTTCAGTTGCCGCTCCCGCTTTTCCGAAGCTTCAATGTCCTTCTCCATCTCAGCCTCCAGCTCCCGGCTAGAGGACTGAAAGTCCGCGAGTTCCGCCTCAAGTTGCTCATACTGGGCTTTGTAATGAGCCAGTTCATCTCTGTAAGAGCTACTTGTATGCTTCCGCTCGGAAGGTGACTCCTCGACGGCCGGCATCTTCTCGCGTTGGGCACCCAGAGGACCTGTCGCAAAGAAGATGTCTGGACGACTGTTGCCGTCCAAAATCGGCGAAAGTCAGTAGAGACTGTACACCAGGCTGTCTTGCCCTGCAGATCGCACCAGCCCCTCTCAAAGACTCATATGTTGTGTGATGGCCGGATGTCAACAAGCGTGCGTTTTGATAAGAGCCCCTCGCCGAGGCGGACGCAAGGGATTGTAGCGGTACCTGGCAATGTGTCCTTCTACAGAGAGAGGAAGAGAAGATCAAGGGATGCGGCGGGCTAAGATGTGAAAAGCTGGGTTACCTTCGACCCGCCTCGTGTCGAAAAGCGGGTTAGATTAGATCGGGCTGGGAGAAACCGGTGCTGTTGTTTCGGTCGTCAGGGGAGCCGGTAGATGCGCTAGTCCTCATTTGGCAGATCTGGGCTCAGCCACCCACCGCTCTTTTGGTGCGTTAAGGCAGGAACTCTAACTGTGCCCCAGGCAGTTTCAGGCACCAATGTGGAGCTAAGCCTCATTGGAGCTGAAAGTGATCCTGATCGACCTCAGCCCGTGATCTGGACTCAGCAGCCCCCAGTCTCCAGTCTTTAGGCCTCTAGGGCAATCAAGTCGGAGAGGTAAGTAGATTTCTCTACCTTTCTATACTTGCTTTAGAAACCCTCTACGAGCTTCTAAGCTCTAAAACATATGTTTCTGGCCTCGGTACACACTGCCCTGAATGTTATGCCCACGCACGCGTTCTTAAGATCGCGGATCATCCTCTTTGCTTCCACGCACTTGTTCCCCCCTCCCCCCGATTATTCGCAAGCTCCATCTGTCTACCTCAGCGTTGAGGCGCATCGCCTAAACGTGGGATTATGGTATGACATCTGAACTTACAGTTTCGGTCCCTCAAATAGATCCCTCCAGTGAGGCCAAGGCCCAACCCGATCTATCGCCATGGCCGACTCAACTGATCTCAACCTTGACGATGCGCCCAGCGACCTCCAGGACATTCCAGAACTGGCAATGCAATTAGTGCCCCCTCCGGAGGGTACATACCCTGACAAGTAAGTTCTCACCCCATCGCTCCTTGCTTTGCAGGGCCAATATCAACAACTGGTGTCTACAGAGCATCTCTTCTCGCCGCAGTCCAAGACCATGGCAAGGAACATGGCTACAATGTGGTTGTTAAATCGTCAAGCACGCCTACAGAGAAGAAACCAGGCCGCACCGCCAAGGTGTGGCTGCGTTGTGATCGTGGCGGCCACTATCGGCCACGGAACGGTCTGACTGAGGAAACACGCAAACGCCGCAGAACCTCGCGGTTGATGGATTGTCCTTTCATGCTAGTCGCAGCCGGCTCTCCAGGTATCTGGACCCTGACGGTGCTGAATGCGACGCACAACCATGGTCCTATTATTGAGAAGCCACGACAGGTGCCTCACCACAAGGTCCGCAAGGGCCAGCTGCCAGCCATCCCATATGATTGGCCGCATGATGCCTCATTCACTCCATACACCACTGCGCTTGTGATAATCGACATGCAAAAGGACTGTAGGTATTTCCACTCATTGCCACTATCAGTGGATCATCTTGCTGACTTTCTCTTAGTCTGTTTGCCCGAAGGATACATGGGATATCAGGGTTATGATATTTCTGGCGCACAGGATTTGATTCCCCGCCTGCAAAGATTGCTCCATGCTTTCCGCTCCGGGGGCTTCCCGGTCTACCATACTCGCGAGGGTACTTAGTGTCTTGTGTTTGGCTACCATCATGTTTTCACTAAATCTTTTTTAGGACACCGACCCGATTTATCTACTCTCTCAAGTCGTGAGGCATACCGGTCTCGTAATAACGCATCGGGCTTGGGTATTGGTTCCCCCGGCCCCATGGGCCGTCTGCTTATCCGCGGCGAGCCGGGCCACGATACTGTTGACGAATTGTATCCTCTCGTTGGCGAGCCAGTTATCGACAAGCCCGGCCGAGGCGCCTTTGCGCACACCGACTTTGAGCTCCTCCTTCGCAACAAAGGAGTGAAAAATCTCGTTATTGCGGGTGTGACCACCGACGTCTGCGTCTCGACGACCATGCGCGAAGCTAACGACCGTGGCTTCGACTGCGTCGTATTGGATGATGGCACTGCAGCTGCCGAGCTGTCGCTGCATATGGGTACTCTGCAATCGATTAAAATGGAAGGCGGAATATTTGGAACTGTTGCCAAATTGGAAGATGTCATTCACGCTGTCGATAATTTCAAAAGCGTCACCATGAAGAAGCTGGCTCCTCAGATGACCGTCTAAGTATGTACTATTTGTTTTAGCGTGTTGGCTTTGGACGCTGGGATTGGAAGGAAATCCCCCGGCGTTTGGGACTGGAGTTATCTCTACTCTGCTGAGATACTGCATTGCGCATCCTTGTTGCTTTTCTTTTTCGAACCTCTTCTTTTGTTAGGTTTTAGCGGGCCAGGGACTTCGTCGATCCCAGATAGTGTCATTTTCTACCAACCAATTTAGGCGCAGAACATTAGTCATTTGCACTTCTAGCTCAACATGTCAAATTGGATCGGGAATAATAAGCCCACTTTTGTTTGTATTACACCACACACTAGATTATCTACCCCATAATTGACATGTAAGCTTGGTTCGCTATTATGCAAAGCGGGTCAAAACAATACATTAAATACAGAGAACAAAATCAAACCCCCAAAAGCATACATGCCCTGAAAACGCCACGCTCATGAACTCAAACTACGAAGAGACAGCCAGACTACAGCCATTTTTTCCCTGCAGCAGTGACCCGCGTTCTGAAAACAGGACTCCTGATCTCCATTCCCTGCTTATAGAACGGGTTCATCGCAGTCTTGACATAGCTCTCGTATACCTCGTTCATGAACTGGCGCACGGCCTCTTCGGTCTGTGGGGAGGTAGGGTTTGCAGCAATGGAGCTGGACGAGGCACGTGTGGTTGATCCTGCTGTGCCTAATAGTGAGGAGGAACCAAGGCCGCTGCTTGTGCTAGTTGAAGAGGGGAGATGCGGGGGTTGGTGGAGAAGGAGAAATCGCGCGCCACTTGGGGTGAGGAATGCAGTGATATAGGCCGCTGCTGGTGGGTATGTGTCGATGTGCTTCAGGTACCTTTTGCGACAGTGTTAGCTTTGGAAGTGGATCTTTGATGTGGATATGTAGCGCGGGTTATTGGACTTGGGGGGTTTCTTTTTTTTGGCTCTCAGGGATTCGAGCTCAAGGATTTGAGCAGGTTTGCAAAAGCCATTTGAGATTCGTAATATCTTATAAAACTCACATATTACCATTGGTCCATTGCGCTTCTTCCAATATGTCCAGACTTGAGTGGATGATGAACTGGTTCATGTACTGCGCTGTTTCCGGGAAGCGGAAGCGGGCAATGCCATCACCACCCCCCTTCGAGGTTCCAAATGCGATGTTGAACAAAGGGGTGTCGGTGGGTGAAAGAATGGTAAAGTAATATGACATTTTGAGCAGATTTGGATTATTCAGGGTTGAGATGGACCCGAGGACGGTCGGGGAGCTGGGAGTTGTGGCTTTACTAGCGGCCGCCATCACGTGGCTGACAAGAAATGAGCTGGTCCAGAAGATGATACACATATGAAATGGTTAACTTGAAAGATGAGGGATATTGCGTTAGAGTGTGAGTTTTTGAGCTTTGTAATTAGTTCAGATTGACCTTCATGCTCTTCAAAACGTATTTTGCGTGTGATTTCTCGTCCAAACCTGATTGTAGTGTTAAAAAAATATATTTTGTGCCGAAAGGCTGCAACTGAGTTTGGTGACAGCTTTGATGATGACACCTTGAAGCTTTGCAACTCAGTCACTTCAAAATGCACATACTATATCAACACATCCTTAATAGCTCCCTATGCCCAAACCAACATTACCTTGCGTTTAGTATACTTCACATGCTCCGATCTCCCCGCAAAAGTCACTAGCACGTGATCGAATGATAACCAGCCATCGCTTTATCGCGGCCGATCGCTGTCGCAACTTTTGACCTCGACAAGCACCTCCTGCCAGATACACCAACCCTTGCAACTAAGCTGAGCACAGCAATCACTGGATCCGATTGGAACTCTTGATTTCCAAAATGCCGACAAATCTTCCCTACGAACTGAACTTTCCCAACAAAAGTACAATGAACCCGGGAAACGGGCAGAAAAGAAAGAACGTTTTTGACGACTCCTCCGATGAAGACCAACAAACTGGCAATTTCGCAATTGAAGTCTCAACTATTGGAGGGCTAGAAGAGCAAACTACGAAAAAGAAACCTCTGCCAAGCGTAGGACAACCGCCGAAACGCAAAATTCAATTCGGGAGCGGCCCTAAACCAACAGCTAAACCGCTCAGCAAGAACTCGCTATTTGCAGACGATGAGGATGAAGACGAAAAGAGAGAAAAAGAGCAACAAAACGCAACGAAACTTGGATTGAACCAGGCAAAGTCGAATAAGCCAACCGCCTCTGCCCAGAAATACACGAATCTCGCGTCAATGCATAGCAGCAACATGCAGGCAAAAGCAGCTGAAGAACTTGACCCATTGATCTACTCATACGATGAAGTATACGACAGCCTGCATGCCAAACCCGCCAAGGCCTCAGTGGAAGCCAAAACCGAAACTCCCAAGTATATGCAAAATTTGCTGCAAAGTGCCGAGATTCGGAAACGGGATCAACTGAGGGCTAAGGATCGCCAGCTAGCCAGGGAGCGTGAAGCCGAAGGTGATGAGTTTGATGACAAAGAGAAATTTGTAACCTCTGCCTACAAGGCGCAGCAAGTGGAGTTGCGGAAGGCAGAGGAAGAGGAAGCACGCCGTGAAAAAGAAGAGGAGGAACGGCGCAAAAAAAGTGGCAGCTCCGGCATGATTGGGTTTTACCGGGACGTTTTATCGCGCGGTGAAGCACGGCACGAGGAGCTCATCAAGGCTGCGGAAGAAACTTCCCGCCGTGTAAAAGCAGGCGAAATAATCGAGGAGACACATGATAAAGAGGATAAGACAGATGCCCAGAAGGCGCAGGATCTCAATTGTCACGGAGCTCGGGTAATTGTGAATGACGAGGGTCAAGTTGTTGACAAGCGCCAGTTGTTGTCTGCGGGACTGAATGTGGTACCGAAATCGAAACCTCAACCCTCTGCCGCCAAAGGTGGAGCTGCAAGGCCTACTGCTGGACGACCAGGTGCCGGTGCTGGTTACCAGGGTGGCCGTGGTGCCCAGCGGGCTCGACAGACCGAGATGGTTGCAAGCCAATACGAGGAGCGTGCACGACAAGAAGAGGAGGCTGAGGCTGCAAAGCAAAAGGAGATCACTGAAAAGAGTCGCAGTCGCAAGACAGAGAAAGATGTGTCCAGCGCCAGAGAACGGTATCTGGCAAGAAAGAGGGAACGAGAAGAGGCTGCTGCCAAGGAGAAGTCGAAGGGGGCCTAAGTGTATGCTAAAAGGCGGGTTGGATGCATTGCATCCACGGAACTTTGGAACACCTGACATTGCATAGCGCTGAGGACAACCATGTAGATAACGAGATACCAAAAAGAGACAACGACTTTTGAGTCCTGGGGCTTTTTGCCCTGGACAAACCTTGGAATGTTCCGGGTAAGACCTGCGTAAAATCCTGTTGAGAATTTACATACAAATACAACAACTGCTTAACCCCTTCCGGTGATTTTTTACTCTTTCATTTCCAATTTCGACTACTCTAACATTCAGTGTATGATCGCTAGGGTTAGCTATGCACCTCGGAGAAATAATTGCCAAGACCTCTTAGCCCCGGCTTACCTCACCAATGTACCTCATATCACATGACCCCACGCGGGCTGAGTTAATCCGGACCGAAAGCACTCGCTAAGCCGCCCCACACAGGTCGCACTCCCAATTTTGCACTCCCAATCGAGATTCAAGAATCGCTTCATCACCAAACCACTTCCATCTCCCGTTCATCAACGTCAATCATCCAACATGGGTAAGGTTCACGGCTCTCTCGCCCGTGCCGGTAAGGTCAAGGCTGCCACTCCTAAGGTGAGTTCTCTTCGATTTCCAGCCAACGCCACTCGATCCACGATTTGAAGTGGCCATCCGTCGGACCAGCCTTTTAACGACAATCTTGCATCCAGGTCGAGCCCCAGGAGAAGAAGAAGAACCCCAAGGGTCGCGCCTACAAGCGTGTTCTTTACACTCGCCGTTTCGTCAATGTCACCATGACCGGTGGCAAGCGCAAGGTACATATCGAATAACATCTACCCACTCACAACGCACAACCATATACAACACATTCGCGAAATATCTTCGACTGCACACCACGAATATCGAGAGTGAAGGACATAAAGGCTGACCAGTCGCGAAATGCAGATGAACCCCAACCCCGGCCAATAGATTATTCAAGTCGTTAAAACAACCACCTGAGCCGCGATCGGATAGTCGAGTTCTACGATAAAAATCTTCGCATAACCACGGCAAGACCTCGGCCCAAACGAATGAAAGCACACCAGATACGGCTGGTACTTGTACGGATGATATCACGCTTCTTCGTCTTCACTTGAATTTTTTTTTTGCTGGCAACGGATGGGTTTTTTTTGGAGGTTGATTCGCGGAAATGGATGAAAACCCATGGCGGTCTGAGGATGGAAAGCTGTGGCTGGATGTGAGCTGTTCACGGGCAGTCCTCGCAGACTAGACTTCAGAGTCACTTTTCGAATCATTTCATAGGCTGTTCATGAATTGCATTCCCGATCCAGAAATGGACTTTTGCCTCTTTTCCCATGCTTTTCTGGTTATCTTTACTGGAGGCAGTGGCTAGGGCCATGGAGATTACTCTTTTTATAAATAGTTGCCTGTCTCTCCAGGGCTGATTCTGAAGTTGTAGAAAACATCAGGCGGGTAATTTCATGATGGGACTCAGCCCTACGAGGCTTAGTGCGCGGTCTGTTCTGCTGATTGACGAATAAAATCATGTAATGCAGTTCCCGCAGCGACTGTACATGGAAGTGTGCTCCAAACTCTTTGCTCCACACGTATCAGAGCTCATCAGAACGTTGTTCAGGTCCTCGCCTTTCCCTCCCAACCTTTTTGTCGCACCATGGGGCCCCGCGTCATGCAAAAGTGCGGGGGCTGGTAGAAATTGGCGAATCATTTCCACTCCAGTTTGATTCAAGAGAACGCTGAAGGATGGAGACTTTAATCATTTTTCATTCATTGTCGATGGGGATAGGTACCATCTATCTTTGACAACGTGGGATATCAACAATCTGATACATTTGGCTCAAGACATTCTAGAGACGACAGATTGATGCTGATACCACTACAATGTCTACTTGGATGCCCTCTTGAACTTCTTTTTTCTCTTCTTACGTTATTGTTAGGATGGAGTTGACTGGCTGCATACTGCAAAAATTTCCCACATGATCAACCTTTATGCCATGCATGACATGTGACGTGAGCAGTCTGGTATATTAAGTAGAACGAGTTTTTTGAAAACGCTAAAAATGGAAAAAAAAGCCGAGAGACCGGAAGAAATCAGCAGGAGTTGTTCGAATTTTGTAGGATTACAGAAACAAGCATTAGATTTCATCTTTGGACATTCTTTAAGTAGTGTGCAATATTAGATCACCACATGGCTTTAGTTTTGTCTTCATTATGACATGTGACTATTTTCTTAGCCAGATAGCACCTGGCACCTCCTAATAACAGGGAACAGCCTTATTTAGACTGATAAGTTCGCGATACTTTTGCATGATTCAGAGCTCGATGTCATGACATAAATGGCGGATTTTCCCGCGGTTGTTTGGTATGATCATCCTAAAAAAAAGGAGACATGACCTCACCAACCTGATGCCGGGTCATCCGGAAATCTTGACTTTGTGAACATGCCCGGCAAAAATGATTGAATCTACCAAAGCCGAGCCGCCCAAGGATCGACGACTTCATTTAAGGTTATCGGGGGAAGCATGAGATGACTAAGGGGATCTTGGCCAGTCGTCGACATTAATCCTGATCTTCACATCCACTTGAGATAAAGGTGGGACGCAACGAGCAAATATCCAGGCAGGTCTAATCGTCAGACAAAGGAGAAGTACATCGCTTCGAGGCCATTGAGTTCAACCGGACCCGATTATACCAAACTCCTCGTCTCTACCCCACACACTGCAATGACATCGATTGAACTCAATTCCGAGTCCTTGGCCGTTAGAAGCTGATTTTACGCATTGGAAAATTGAAGAACGATGCCAGTATCGGTCACTGAGAGTCTACATATTTGTGAGACCAAAAGCTGACAAAAGAGAGAAGGCTGCGCAGGCTATCACAACCAGTCATCTAAACTGGAGGATAAAAGAGTATTGGATACAAAGCGTGAAGGCCTGTAGTAGACATCAACGGCTGGAAGACCCCACCGATCCCGCTCCCTCCCTCTGGCTGAGCATCATCGACTTCTGATATTATGCTGTGCCGTCACATCCAGCTCCCCATTAATTTCTTGGATCAGGTTGCGGGCATCAACTGCATACCGAGCAAGCGGTTCCCTCAGCTTACCTATGCTTGGCACAAACTATTGGATATGAAAGTGGTGCGGGTATCACCGAAATTATTCCATGATGCAATGAGGAGAAGGATGGTCGCTGATATTATTTAGGTCCTCCTGGGGCCCCAGTTCTGGCTCGGCTCCCTGTTTGCATTCCATCTATTATTTCTGAAAGCTGAACAAACACGAGTGAATGGATTCATTTGTTTAAACTTTATCTTTACGATACACTTATTGTTAATACATTCACTTCTTAATCAACCACCCATCGACATGTTCGCCAAGGCCAAGGGGATCCTTGAGAAAAGCTCGTCCATCCGCGATGAAGTCAGTCAAGGCAATTACAATGGCGCGAAAGAACTTGTGAAAGGCCAATCCACCAAAGAATCTACCAGCCAAGGAGACAAGGCCAATGAGATCCTAGACAAGAGCTCATCAGCCCACGATGAAGTCTCCCAAGGCAACTTTAATGGTGCCAAAGAAGCTGTCACCCAGAGTCAAAGGAGTGAAGAATCGACCGGCCAAGGAGTTGCCGGAGGAGCCATTGGAGGAGCATCGAGTAGCGTTGCTGGAATAAACAAAGAGAACCTCAACACGGAGAATGTTCAGGAGGCTGGAAAGCAAATCGGCAAAGGAGAGATCGACCAAGACAACATCGGTACCTCCTCTACTGGCCAAACAAAAGGGGAGCAAAGAGACATTAGCAACGTGAAGCGAGAAGCTGGCCAGAAACAGCAAGACAGCACCGATGCAAATCAAGACACTAGCTCTAAACAGTATGACCGCAGGGCCAGTGTGGCAGCTGGAGAGCTTCAGCCCAATTACGACATCCGCAAGGGCCCCATTACCATGCCAGGCACTTTCCAAGAAAAGAACTTCCATAGTGTGGGTGGCAAAGAAACTATTATTCAGAGAGGAACCAACAGCAAAGGAATGCCCAGACAAGAACAGACCGAAAATGCTCCCCAGGTTGCCTTCGCAGGAGCAGGAAGCGGTAACAAGGCCAGCTCAGCTCAGGAAAAGACCGAAAAAGCCGTCGCTGGAGGTGGCTTTAGCAAAGAATCCATTGAAAAAGAGATTCACGACTATGATAATCTCAGCCCAGACATCTTCAGCGATGGGGCCACCAGCAAGGATCTATCCAAGAAATCCGCCGATCAAGATGTTGGAAAATACCATATCGACAGAAAACAACTTGATAAGCAGGGCTCTCAGCCTTCCCAGAAAGCAGGCACAGGCGAAGCTGCTGCTGCTGCTGCTCCCACCGCTGGCTATGGTGCGAGCAAAGGTGTCACCAACCAGACCTCTACCACTAGAAAACGTAGCAAGAGGCACTCCATCTCTGAAACCAACGCAGCAAGACCCCAAGATCTTACCTCCACAAGCCCTAAAAGCAATGTTACTTCCAACGTGGGGGAATATGGATATGCAAGTGGACAAGGATTGGCCGCTTCAAACCAGACGAATAGGGGGGATATTACTTGTGCCCGTGGGGCATCTGATCAAGGGTTCACTCCCCAGACCTTGACAGGCACAGGGTATTCTACCACCTACGGATCTAACCAAACCAGTGGTCTACGTTCTACGACCACAGGCCAGACAAACAGCGCCTTGTTCAATACCAGCGCGACTGGATCAAAAAAACCAGCTATCGCCGGTGGAGGTGTTCTGGGACTTCACCAAGATGGTAGCTATGGTATATCCGGCAACGAGAACAGCGGAGTCAATCAAAGAAGTATTGTTGGTGGAGCAGGAAGTCAACAGAGTGGTGCTTATGGCACCTCTAGCAATGACGATTTCAACAACGGAATTACCAACGCTAGCTCTAATTCAAAGAGTGGCTCTGCGAATGGTGTGACCTCGAAGCGCATTGTCAGACAGCTGAGTAGCAGTGGCTATAAGGTCACTGTCCTCCAGGAGAAGGTTCAGGCGGTATCCCAAAAGTGCAAAACTCAGCTGGGCTTGTCTTCTAGTCAGATCAGCAAGCGTAGCACTACTGTTGATGCTTTTTTCGATGCCGTTGCAGCTGAACGTCTCCGGTGGATGCCTCATGATGGTAGCAGACTCGACTGCAGCCTCAGATGGGCGTCCAAACTGGCGTATGCAGTCGACGCTCTTCGAGAGTCTGTCGGTAGCTTCGCTCCTGCTGCCAATGAGGCAGCATCGCTCATCTGGGGATTCTCTATTCTCCTCCTGGAGGTGAGTTAAGGAGGTTAACGAATTCTTTTGGATTGGAATACTAACTTCTTGCATAGTCTGATATGGACAATACAGATGTCTTCGAGAGCGTATTTGGCCGTTATGGCCGGGTTGCTGTCGGTGTCTACTTGCTTTTGCAGTATGATGTTGCGTATAAATCCTCCCCTGAACTGCAGCCATATGTCGCTGCGGTATTCGCAGATTTGCTTGAGATGGTTAGTAGCACGGCTATGAGCTGTATCGAGGGATTCAAAAGCAAAGAGTCCGATCAAATTATCGGACGTAATGCCGATGCCGCTTTTGTGACCTACGCCAAGCGCTTTTCTACCCACTGGAACTGTGTTGTCGATGCGCACACTGCGAAGCTCATGGATGGCAGCTCCCTGATCTACTCCTCGCCCGAGCTGGGTAGTTTGCGTCAATTCCTGGGAGTGCAGGACCGCCCTCTTCAGTTTATCCTCGACTCTCGCGCTCACTCGCTTGCCGAGGGATCGTTTGAGTGGTTCAATAACACGCTCTACGACTTTGGTGTCACAAGCTCCCCTGTGATGCTGATTTCTGGTGGTCCTGGCTCAGGAAAGAGTGCACTGGCTCAATGGGTGGTCGAAAGACTGCAGGAGTCAGCAGAGCACGATAGCTGGAATGTTATCCCATACACCATTCGTGAGTTTCTGGGGTTTGTACTATATTAGTTTGCGTGCTAACCCAGTACAGGTGCTGATATTCCCGTCGCTACTTTGCCTCTACGCATCCTGAAGGGTGTACTTCACCAGATGTTGGATCACTCTGTCAGTGACAAGCAAACCCAGGAGGCTATCCTGGTTGAAGTCGCCAGAGCAGCCCAAGGGGCGATTGATGGCGCTGGAGATGACGCAGTTGAAGCAAGCCTTTGGAGAGGTATTCGTGCCGGTCTTGCTACGAATATCCAGTACATGTTTGTGGTTGATGGCATTGACCAAATCAGGGGTGGTCACGCCAACGCAATTGCCTATCTCAATCGCTTCTGTGAGATTCTCTTAGAACAGAATGCTGGATCTAAGATGATCGCTTTCACCCGGCCCCTGAGTTTGAAGATCAACTCTAAAGGCGTTCAGCAGTTTACCCTGCAGACCTCCCAGACCAAGACCGATCTGATAGCGTATGTCAACAAGATGCTTGCATCTAGCGCCAACTTTGACACTCACAAGGGCAATCAGCTTCAAGCTGCTGTGTCTACCATTGTAGCTCGCTCTCAGGGCTCTTTCAGTTGGACTGAGATGGCAGTTGCATATGTCAAACAGCAAAAGACCCTGAGCCACGCTGTTGCGTCCATTCAGAGCCTGCCACAGTCGATGCCGGAACTTATAAACTTCCACTCCAACACCCTCGACTTCAGCCAGCAGGGTACTTTTGAAATTGTGTCCTGGCTCGCAGCAGCCGAGAGACCCCTGCTAGTTGAGGAGATTGAGCACTTGCTGAATGTGGATCCCAAGGGCCCCTGCTACTCCTCCAGCCGAATCACTAGTAGCTACGATGCTTTGAGTGCTCTGAGCCCGCTAGTCATGACCCACGATGGTGTGGTCTCTTTTGCCCACACCTGCATTCGCGACCACATCATAAAACAAGCCAAATCATCTGGTGGGCAGTCCCAGCTCAGTCTCAAGGATGCACACTACGACTTGCTCACCAGGTGCCTTTCCTGCGTGCAGTTGGGTGTGCGTGAGGAGGTTGATGTTTCCATGGACAAGCTGGGTATTGAGGAGCGCAACCAACTTTTCGACAAGTATGTCGTTTTGGAATACACCGCACGCTACTGGCTGTCGCATCTTCTTTCTTCGCCCCTGGTTACCGATGATGAAGAGTTCCAATTCAATTCGAGCTTCACAAAGCTCATGCCTGCCACTGTTCTCTTCGCGCGCCTTGAGTTGACTTGCCGCGAGTCCCAGTTCACTCGGTCCAGTGTCGTGGAGCTCTACAGGCTCGCGAGTGATATCCGCCGATTGGTCCTGGGCGAGAAATCTATCGCCCTGCTAGAGAGTTTGGTGCTGAGCGCACGCGTGTCCAAGTTGGCGCATGCCAGTCACGCCGATGAGACCTGCTACGAAGCGTGGAGGCTGAGCCAGGAGCTTCTCGGCCAGTCTCATCCGATTACCCTGACGTGCTCTGAGATGATGATACAGTCATTCTCCGAGCGAGGCACGATCACCTCTCAGCAGGAAGACATTATGAAGTACTTGATCTTGACAGACTCTGAAATCACCGGGGTAGAGTTTAACCAACGCCTGAAGTACCTTGGAATGATCGTCGGCATGTATAAGTCTCGCAACGAAAACCAATCCGCGTTATTCATATCGAAGCAATTCTACCAGCAAGTTCTTCTAAAATATGGCACTAATTCGCGCCAGTCATCCGAGACAGCCGACTTCTTGACTAGCCGTTTCTCGACAACTGGAAGCGATGAGATGAGCCGTGATATTGCCAGAACCAAGTATGACAATATGGTACGCACCATGGAAGTGACTGACGAGCGCCGAATTGCCTACACCCTGTATATGGCTAAGATGTACGAGGATCAGGGTGATTTGGCTCATGCTCAGGCAGTTCTTTCAAGTCTATGGGCTGGCCTTAACTCGCGTGATATTGACTCGGTTGATATGATGGACAAAAAATCTAATGTTGCCCTTGTATACTACCAGTTCCTCCGCCGTCAGGACCGAAGTGATGAATCCGAAGTCATCATCCGTGAACTGGTTGCAGATCTTGAGGTTACTGGTATTCACTCCGAAGAGATGATGGAGCGCGTGCATCTCCTTCGCGCTGAGACTCGGGAGATGCTTTTGTACAACCTTGATCGCTCCTTGTCTATTCTCATGTGGCGCTACTACAAGGAGACTCACCAAGAATACTCAGAGGACGCAACCGCTCTGGCACTCTCCATTGCCCAGAGCATGGCTAATGCAGTCTCCGTTGCGGATGCATCTTCTCTGTCTTCTCGGGACCGCAGGCTGCTGATCGAGCTGCTGGACGGTATCTCGGCCAGTCCCGAAAACATGACTGTCACCACCTTGATCTTGTGCCACAACCTTGCCAGCATCTACGTGCGTGAGGGAAACTGGGTCCAAGCCAGCGAGTGCTCGATGGCAGTTCTGCAGCACATCTGGCCCACCGTTGAACAGGTCAAATCTCACCAGAAGTTCTCTCCCGAGCTGGCACCTCCTGCGGCAGACCTGGCTTTGGTGTTGGCATACTGCCACTTTCGCAGGTTGCATCTTGAACAAGCTACAATTGTTTACGAGAATGCCTTTGGTTCTTTGATCAACTCTGACAGAGCCCCTGTGCCGTCGGCGCTGGCCGTTGCCAAGGCCGTCGTCGAGTTCCATGAGACTACCTACCAGTTCACCAAGGCGCTGAACTTGCTCCACACCATGAGTAATTTCTTGGCCACTCGTCTCGGAGAGACCCATGAGCATACCATCGAAAACATGTATCTCGAGGCTGCTTTGGCCACTCGTCTTGAGATGAACGGTGAGGCGAAGAGCATATACCAGCGCATCTTCAAGGCTACCTCCCGTGCGAACATCATTGCTCCAGAGGGCATGGACGCTGCAATTGCCCTCATCAAACTCTACGAAAAGGAAAAACAGTGGGATTCTGCTTTGCATGTTTACCGATCTCTCTGGCCGACCCTGGTCGTCGAAGACAACAAGCTGGATGCTTATGATCATGAGCTTGTGGACCGGATGCTGGAGAAGACTTATCTCGGGTACATGTCTATTTTGACTACCCAAAAGAGCTCCGACTTCTCCGAGCGGTATCGGGTTGCCTCGGAGTATGTCATGACCTGTCGCCACGTGCACGGCGCAACAAGCGAGAAGACGCTCAATGCTACTTTGCTCTTTGCCGAGCTGTGTGAATCCAGCGATGCACACATTGACCAAGCCATCTCACTGTACAAGCTACCTCTGGAAACCAGCGAGTGGGTGGCTCCTGCTCAGTCGTCGAAGGGCCTCGACCAGATGACTACACCACTGCCCATCACCCTCAAGCACAAGTTGGCACAGCTGTTTGTGCGCAAGCATGATTCAACCGTCGAAGCCCGTTCCCTCTACACTGAAGAGTTCCAGCTGGCCAAGAAGAACCAGGGTTACTTCTCTACCACGACTCTCTCGTGGCTTCGTGAGCTAGCCCTCGCCCATTCGCGACAGGGAACTTCTTCTTCTGTCCAGCAGGGCAACGCCATTCTCCACGCCTATTCTACCGATGTTTTGCATGCTGACGGTGACACTGATACCATTGGTGACTGGGCCCGCCGGATCGCAAGTATCTACCTCGAGTGCGGCTTTATCGAAGGTGGTAACAACCTCCTCGACGAACTCCGCCAACGCGTGGTGTACCGCTCCGAAGCTTCCCCCGTTGATATGAGAGATCGTCGCGATGCCGTATTTGTCGCTGCATTTGAGGAAGTCTTTGGCCGGCGTGCCAGTTACGACCAGATCATGGCCGAGATGAGTCGCGAGATGACAAATTCTCGGGCCTTTTCTCAGAGTCTCTCTGGCCACGACTTCGTTCCCACTCTGATCGCTGGCCACAAGCTCTACAATCTGCAGATCGGTCAGAAGCGAGTTCGCCCTGCCAACGACACCAAGGACAAGCTGTACGAGTACTTCTGCTCTAACCTGTCCGCCACCCAGGTCGCCGACAAGGAAGTTGTGCAGCAGTTCTATCAGATCTGTTTGCGTGAGGTTCACAGAGAAAGCTATGATTTGAATATCCTCAAAACAACCACCAATCTCGTTCGTGACCTGTGCAACTCCTCCCGCTTCCAGGAAGCCACCATCCTGACAGGCGTCTTGCACTCCTTCCTGCATCTGACCGACGGTCTTAACAACCAGGAGAGCATCAACCTCGCCACTCAGCTCTGCCTGTACCTAAGCGGCCATAAGGCAACCAGATGCACCGACGAAATGACCTACCAAGCCATGTCCATCAAGTCCAAGTTGCTTCTAGAAGATATCATGGCATCCTCTAAATCCATGGGCATCGAGATGGTAGACCTACCCTTCAACCATCTCAACGACGTCATCACTCTGCTAGGTCAGTACGAGATGTTCGAGGAGCTAGAAATAATCCTCACCCAACTCTGGACCTCCCGAATCGTCCAGCGCACCTGGACACCAGACGTGGTCGTATGGATCGGCCGACGACTAGTGGAAACCCGCTTCTGCCGGGGCAACGTTGATTCCGCCATCAAGCTCTGCCGCGACATCTGCTACAACCTGCGCCAAGTATGGGGCAGTTGTGACCCGGTCACACTGGACATGACCAAGCTTCTCTCGGCCCTGTTCACGGCCTCGGAAAATCACCAGGCGGCTGCGACTCTGCACGAAGGAATCCTGTACGACTTGCTCGGCGATTCCAAGGCCGAGGGCCATCCACGTGTTGCTGATACCGCGTCGCAGCATATGGAGCTGTTGCGTCGTGCCCAGGCTCGTTTGGGGACGGGCCAGACTTCGAGACGGGCGTCTGCGCATGCGGAGCTGTTCCAGTCTGTGGCGAATCGCTTTGGTGTGCAGTCTGAGCAGATCAAGAGTGTTAGCGAGGCTCATGGTGGTGACCAATTTGGTGTTTGGTCTAAGCCTAGACGTTTCAGTATTGATGTTGAGGACATGGAGGAGGAGAGTCAGACGCACCGTAACCATTTGCGGGAGTCTAGTGGTGCTGGGTTAGGTGGTAATGGTTCTCAGAGACGTATCTCAGTGCAGGCTCTCTAGGTACACACTGGGGAATCTTCGTTTTTCGATCAGATATTTGGGGTTGGGTTTATGTTGGCGTTTTTGGATTTGTGACATGTGAAGGACCAAATTGTATAACTTGTCCATCACGCAGATTCATGTCACGATCTATTGGAAAATGTGTGAGAATTGTGTCATTTAACCACGCAAGTCTTCAAACATCTGGTCAATCTGGGGTACAGAACACAGATGCATTCCAACTAGTTTAATGTGCCACATTGGAGTGTTCTTGTATGGGAGGTTAAGTAGAACCAACTCATCCGCAATGAGCTGCTTGTTGGATTGCAGTAAAGATAATTTCGTCTATTACATTATCTGCACAAAGAATGTACATACAGTACGCAAGAATACCCAGCATGTGTGCTTCGACCAGATCGGTGATTCGAAACCAGTAATTATGTTGTTGATAAGAGATGCGTGTATTCAATGCACTTAGCCTTGCCTGTTTGTGGAGGACCACAGCGTGGCCATGATAAATGAATGTGGTGAAAAGCAAAAAGTCATCAAGTGCGTTCATGCATGCCGGCTGTAAGGATCACAAGGGATCAAACGCCAGGGCGTATGGTAAAAATGATCACCATAGCCAAAGCCTGGTCAAGCGGTCAATGCAAAGCTGAGGCCCATCAGCCCCATACCTGCAATAGCGAACCAGATTCCCATTCCACGGTAATGGGTGAGAGCGAGTCCCTCACTGAAAAGTTGTAATGCAACCGAAGTCATGACTCCAGCGGTGGCAGCAAACATCCCTCCGTAGATACCCCATGAGGGCCCCGTGGCATCGTCACTGCCGTGTTGCCCAGTGCTCCAGATCCAAAATGCGGCTAAGCCAGCACCAGCGGGTTGGCTGATACCTCCCAGAAGGCTGGACCAGAACATTGCCTTCCAGCGGGAATTGAGGGCAAGGTAGAGAGGAAGCGACATGGCGTATCCTTCTACAATGTTGTGTATAAATAGAGCCAGGAAGACTGTCGTACCGAGGCTTGGGCTGGCATGGTTGGTGGCGTAGGTAATGAACCCCTCAGGAAGCTTATGTAGAGCTATAGCGAGTGAGGTCTGGAGTCCAATGGAGAGGAATGCATTTTTGGGGACGTGGTGGTGATGGGGGTTGCCCCCAGCAGATTTGGGACGCTCAGAATCCATCTCCTCGCGATGTCCATGAGACTCGGAATGTGGATGATGCTGGGAATGAGAATGAGATAGACGAGATGAATGTGAGTCTAGAATCTGAGACGAAGCGGATGAAGACACACATGGCTTCTTGTCGTGCTGTGCAGAGATGTTGTCAAAATATCCACCTTCTTGTGTAGTAGATGCATTTTTTTTGCCAAGGTCAGTTTCCACATGCTGAATTTCTGGTTCTAGAGGCACGGATATGCTTTCATGATGCAGCGGGTCTGGTCGCACAGTTTCAATGCTGTTGGATAGCGGAAGCACTTTGGCGCATTCTTGCCCGCAAGCCTGGGAAACTCCAAAACAAGGTCCATCCTCGTCGCAGGCAGATTTTGCGCCACCCATGAGCGACGTAATGCGGCGCGCCAGCAGTGCCCGCATCGTCTCACGTCTGGGTGCCGGCTCGGGATGTTGGCTCCGTTGTAACACCGCTGGCATTGACTTTAATGAAGATGCCTTGTTAGACTGCAACAACGGTGTTCGTTCATTATATGCAGTTGTATCATTGTGAACATAGTCCGTGTGTGCCTCGCCGTGCTCGGGATCAGTTTCTGACTCGGTATGGGTATGGGCACAATCGACAACATGAGATGGTATATATCTGTGTGCGATTGCGGATAAGATTTGAATACCTGCAACTCCGGCAATGAAGAGACTGATCAAAACATATGCAGATACGGCGGGGGAGAAGCCGGCGCGGGTGAGGTACTGCTTCGAGTTGGGCAGCATGCTATATAAGGAGGTAAAGAGCTGCTTTGGTTCAGTATAAAGCGTTCAAAACTCTAGATGTGAGAGCTTACCATGACTCCAGCACTGAGACATAATGACGCCGACAGGAAGTTGCTGCTGTTGGCTATTCGGAAGCTCCTGCGGCGGGAAACCACCTGGACCAGTACATCGACGCAGATGATAGATGAACCAAGCACGCATGCTGAATACGATTAATGGGGAAGCCCTCAAAGATTCCAGGAGACACTTACCAACGCCTGAGACGACGCTCATCACCCAACCTCGCAGGTCGTTTGCAAACATGGTGTGGGGAGTTGAAGAAAATGGAAACAATGATGTGATTTGCATTCAATAGGTTAGTCAACACTTTGCCTCTCTTTCTTTCTGTACAAGAAATGGAAACATGGTGATGTCTATGGATGGGGATTTATAAGATCAGGTGTATTGCCCGAGGACAGTGCATTCGCCCCCAAGGTTCTCACTGCACTTTTGCGTCTTGCCCCTCATCAGATCTGGGATATGGGATATGGAATAGACGGTCTGGCATTGGGAATCTCTAGCATAAGACCCCTCTAAGACTATAAGATATGGTGAAAAAGGGTTCGACCTGAGATTTCATCAATGCTCTCTCATTGGAACTGATCGGGTGAAACTTGACTTGGTCTCTGTGGCAAGGGATGAAGGGTTTGCACACATGCAAGGGGGGTTAGTCAACTGACAGCATCTTGTGATTTGAAATATCTTCGATGCATCAGACTAAAAGTGAATCAAATCAGTAGTCAAGAGAGTCAAAAGAATCCAAGAGACACCAGAAAAGATATGCACAAAACGCCCTGCAGAACTGCACCCTGTAACAGTTCCAGGGGTTTGCATGTGATGTGATTGGCCCGTGACTTCCCATCGATTTTAATGGTCGATTCTTGGCTCCCTCGACTTGACCCTACCTAGGTGAATCCAAGGGATACTTAGCCATGTCCAAAGCAACTCTGGCAATCATCGCTGCCGCCAGTGCAGCCACTGGAGCTGGTGTCACTGCGCTGCTCTTCGGCAAATCCTCCAAGCCCCAAGAGACCCTCACCCCGACCCCAACAACAGGTCCGAAGGTACCCTCAGCGATCCCAGCCCCAGCCCGAGCATCTAAACTAGCCACTGGTCCTGTAGATGCAGCAGGAATCCTCCAATATGGTTTCCCGGGCCCAATTGCCGATGAGCTCTCCTCCCTCCCACTACACGGCGCCTACGACCGACGCACCCGCAACCCATCCTGGGTCGCCGAACACATCACACCCGAATCCCTAGCTGTTCACAATGCCGACCGAAAGAAGAGTACTTTTTTCGAGGACACGACCATTCCAGCAATGTTCCGCGCGAAACTGTCCGACTATTTCCGCTCGGGCTATGACCGCGGACACCAGGTACCAGCCGCAGACGCGAAGTGGTCGCAGGATGCCATGGATGGCACGTTCGCGCTGAGCAATATGTGTCCGCAGGTCGGCGAGGGCTTTAATCGTGACTACTGGGCGCACTTTGAGACTTTCTGCCGTGATCTCACTAAGCGTTATCCCTCCGTTCGCGTCGTTACAGGTCCACTCTACTTGCCTCACCGCGACCCGGATGGAAAGTGGCGTGTTAACTACGAGGTTATTGGTAACCCGCCTAATGTTGCCGTGCCCACGCACTTCTATAAGGTTATTTATGCCGAGGATGGAACCAACTCGCCTACGAGTAAGGTTGCGCTCGGTGCTTTTGTTCTGCCTAATGCTCGGATTGCGAACGATAAGCGTCTGACTGACTTCGAGGTTCCTCTCGAGGCTGTCGAGCGTGCTTCTGGTTTGGAGTTCGGCTCTAAGTTGGACCTTGGTCGTCGTCGTCGCTTGTGTCAGGAGGTGTCTTGCTCGATCACTGTGCGCGAGTTCAACAACGCCAAGAAGCGATCTTGAGCTTGAGGCTGCAAATTGGAGAGGAGAGAGACTGGGTTCGCCTGTTGACTTCTCGCATGGCTTCATAGTACATCTAGAAACATTGTAGTGCATCATGGTTCGGGAGTCAGTAACCACTCCGGGCGGCAACATCAGGAACCTTTTTTTTTATTGTACACATTATCGATACCTGTGGTGGTGCATATTTCTTTCTTGGTTTTGTTGTTGTGAGTTACTCAGCACTGGAACGCAACTCCAGCCTTCTTCCCCATATTCCCACCTTTGCTAGCAAACCCAGTCCCCTCGGAGGAGATCTCTACCAGACCAGGTCGAATAGCATCTCTATCCTTCTTCTTAGACTTCTTGCTATTCCCGTTCCCGTTCCCATTGCCGTTTTCGTCTGGGTTTGACTTTGCTGTAATGTCTGTCTCACAAACGAAACATAAAACCTGGCCGTGGACAGCAGCAGTCTTCTCCTGTTCCTCCTTGGAGGCATGTGGATCGGGGACGTGATGTTCGTGGGGAGTCATGAATTTTGTTACGCAGGGAGAGCAAATGACATGCCCGCAGGGCTTTGTGACTGCCATGAGAGATAATTAGCAAGACCCAATGGCTGTACCGACTTAAATTCCACATACGCATCGCCTTGAGCCCATTGCTCAAATTTTTCTTGCAACTCGGACACACTCTGGATACAATCCCATCAGAAGTCTTCTCCTCCGTAAAATTAACCTCAACAAGCGACTTAAGCGAGTAGCTATGTCGGCTCTCATCCGTCGAGCCAGGACAGGCAGGCGTCACCTTGACAGTCTTGTTGGCGGCGATTTCATTTGTGTCGGTATTGGGCGTTAAGGATGGAACCCAGAAGGACGGGAGAGCAGATTTACTAGAGGACTAGAGCAAAGTTGTTAGTTCAATCCAAATCCCCAAATGAAGATGGAAGCTCCAAGCTCGAAGCCGGAGTCCAGCCCAAAGAAGAACCACAAACCTTGTCCATTTTCAACTCCCTCCTCAACCTCTCCCTCTTCTCCCCAGCAACACGAGCCATCTCCTCCTCCCCAAGCTCAAAAACCCTCTTCCTCTTCCCATCAACCTCAACCTCCTTAGCCTTAAACTTCTCCAAAGCTTCCAATTCCTCTGCCTTGCGCTTCTTCCCACCCCCAGAAACCCCACCCTTATTCTCCAACCCCATAGAGACAAGCTCGAAATCCCTGAGGTCCCGCTCCTTCATCTCCGCCAACGAGCGCTCCTCATCCTCCGCAATGCGTTTCCTCGCCTCGTCGCGCTCTTTTTCAAGACGTTTGATCTCCTGCCGTTGAGAAAGGAGATCACTGATAGCGCACTCACGGCAGAAAAGGTCACCATTGCTGGCGCATGCGACTACAGGTGCGCGGGCGGGTTGCAGACATAAACGGCAGGAGCCGAAGGTTAGGAAGCTGTCGCGTCCGATTGCGCTGCGTTTTGTGCCCCAGGTTGAGCGTAAAAGACCGCGTTCGTAGGAGGTAAAGTGGGGGAGGGAGGTATTTCGCTTTGAGTGCGCCATTTTGGAGTGTGGTTGGCGTGGAAGTTGATTGGGGGTGAGGGTGGCTTTTGCAGCGTCGCAGATGTCGTAATGGGTTTTTAGTCGGGAATTTGGTGGTGCAGGTGCAGGGTGGGACTTGGGATTGGTGCATTAGTTCACCGCCTATTCCACCGCTTTAGTGAGCCCTAGACAGATCTGTGAATGTGTACTGTTCAATCAAGCACCAACTCCAATACGTAGTCGGCGGTGCAGTGGTTTACATCTATGCTTGTAGAGACACCATATGAAGCAGTAGAAAGTATCAAATCAATCGTTGTCAATCATAATTCGCTTTTGTCTATCGGTGATTCCACAGCCTCACACACTTGAAAGAAGCATAATCGAAATGAAATGGCAAAAGCACATGATATCAAAAAACACCCATGAATGCAGCCTGTCCTACAGATCTGATTCAACGATCTGAAAGTAAATGAATAGAGCTCCTAGATGCAGACGCGGACGCAGACAGATGCTCAAAAACCAAGACCGAACTGAAAACCTGCCACGAAACCGAGATTCACCGGATGTTGATGCAATGGGCAGTAGGGAAAGTCAACCAGGAAAAGACAAAGAAAGTGCATGAGTATGAAGAAAAGGGGGTATAATAATCGTCAAGCAGAAGATCAAGATGAGAATGATGAGGATGTACAAAAGAAAGTAAAGGAAGATAAAGGTTGTGGAATCAAGCGCCCACGGCCTGCTCGCGTAGGTTTTCGCTGGATGGCGTATCGGCGATTCGCTCATTGATAGACGTAGAGGAGGGGGAGGGGGAACCGTTGCTTATTGGTGCGGAAAGATGGCCGTATACTGTGGACGAAGGGGAGTGAGGAGTATGGGCGGTGTCTAGAGGATTTACACCTAGCGTCGGGGGTGAGGTGATCACTGGGGAAGCTGGGCTCCCGATATCCTCTTCCGGCTGCTCTTCATGCGCATCCTTGAACTCTGCCAGATCATCGCTGGTGCGCACACTTAGACCAGTAGTGGCGCTCGTTCTACGAGCCGAGTGAGGACGTTCCGGACTGCGGTCGGTCGTGATCAACTCGCCGCTGTCCAGTATAGCAAGATCCGACGCCCGTGGCTCTTCATGGGGGGTGGGCTTGCGGAGTTTGAGTCGCTCTTCCGGGGGCATGTTCTGCCATTCAGACCCAAATGTGACGATGGATGCTTTCTTGCCATGCACGGTGAAACTAGGGGCTTTCCGAGGAAGGACATCTCCCTCGCCGGAAAGTTGATCGTCCTCCTCCTGCCCATTGCTAGAAATTGAGCCTCGTTTCTTCTTCGAATGAGTGTAGTTTCGATGAGCATGCGAGTCACGGAGGGAGCGATGAAAGCTGCGACGGACGCGACTCGATCTATTGCTCTTATCGTTTGCATTTGTCTCGCCCTCGGTGTTTTTGCCGGGAAGTGTGTCGGGGGCGATCCCTTCATCCTTGTGTGTCAACGGGGAGGCCGGCAGCTCTAGTAAACCAGCTTCCCTTAGGACACGCTCCTCGCCATCGTCGAAGCTCACAGGTAATGTCAGTTTCGACGTACGAGATGCCAGACTAGCTCCATCCCACCGGCTGAGGACCGAGGATTCACGCTCGAGTTTAGTGGTTGTAGGATCGGGTGAGTATGACTTGGCACGTTTGGGAATGGTCACAGCGGAGCGCCGACGACCGACACGAGCAATGTCAGCCGAAGTGACAGATCCTGGGATGCTGGGACGACGCAGTTCAACATTCAAGGGTTTAGCCAGCAGTCCAGCCTCCGAGGGTGGCTCAGTTTGGGCAATATTAGGCTCAACGGTATCGGCGCTAGATATGGTATGCACAACACTACTGGATCCTTCTATGATAGGCTCCGATATTATAGACGGCCCGGAAAGAGAGGCCAGGCGTGCTCCGTCTGATTGCGATGGTGTCGGTTCAGCAACCGATCCGACCCGGCTTTCAACTGCCTCTTCATCTTCTTCCAGGTCTCGCATGAGAACCTGGCGGTAACATTTGCTACGCCAGATATCCTGTCTCACCCATTTGATCTTGGCAGACAGGCGGCCTGCAGCCGTGATGACGCCCTCGCGGGCCCGAGCGTGTAGAGGAGTAAGCAGTTGCAAGTGTCGAGCATTTTGTAAAAGATCATCCAGTTGTTTTTGTGATACAGCGAGTTTTTCATTTCTCTCCCAAATCTTGTGGCCCATCAATTTTCGTCGCGCCGCAACAAATTCGGCAACAATGTCGGTATCGATGCTGGGAGAAGGGGGCTCTATTTCAGTCGACTGGTGGGACTTTTGTGAGGACACCGAATTTAATCGTTGGTTCTTGCGGTAACGTTGTCCCTCATAATTCGTGGCAATCATGCCCTTGGTGCGCACACCAGTGGTCCTGAAGGCTGCAGCATAGTTGAGGTGTGCAAGCCAGTCATTCATATCAGGTTCAGAGCTAGCAAGGAATGTCTCCTCCAAGGCGTTGTGTCGAACAAAGATGAAGGCGTGTTTATGCTTTTTGTAACTTGAGTCTAGGAGGGCAACTGTTTCACCAGTAGACAAAATGTTGTCCGGCTTAAATTCAGCAAGGGGTGGCCTGAAAATAAGAGTCCCCCGACGGTCATTCTTGACAAAAGAATCATGCTGGGCCATGAGTGAGCGCACCCAGTTCACATTGCGGAAGAAGTAAAGTTGGGAGAATGTAAGAATCGCACCCCATTCCTGCCAGGGCGACCGGGCTTTCTTTTTCTTCGGGTCTTTCCGCCAAAGCAAGCCGACCTTGGCGACTTTAATATCTACCAGGCCGGGATTCGAGTCTTGTGGATTATCCAAGCTAGCCGGCATGAATGCGTCAGGGCGAGAACGCAGAGAGATGATTTGCAAGATTCCAGACTTTTTGAAGTCCTGGTGAAGAGCATCGATGTCCGGTGGCCCAGCAGACCCAAAATGATTGTATGTATCTTCCAGGTCCATGACATCCTTCAGGCTGGGGCGCAGAGATTCTAATTTCCCTTCCAGAATAAGAGAATAGGGATCGACAGGCTCCCGTGCAATGCGGGCCAAATTTTCGGAGCTAGTGCTTTTGAATAGAGTGCGACGTGGTTTCGCCAAATGACGATCAGGCATATTGGCGTCTTCGACGCGAATGAACGGTGTGTATGAGATATTCTCATAGAAACACTCAAGAACGTCCTCCGAGATTCCCTCGCTGCGACTGATTTTGACATAGTCCGCCTTCTGCATCTTGCGTTTGTTGTTCTTATTGAAGACATCGGTGTGAAGAATCAAAAGGGAGAATGCAATAAAATATGCGTTATCAGGAGCTGTGAAGATGCCTGGGTTGCATTCATGATAACGGTCAGCAAATGCTTGCACGAAACGATCAATCTGCTGTGTTTCTTTCGGGAGCTCGACTTCCATCAAAAGCTTGCGGATTGCCATGTCCAGTGGGTCGCCGAAGTACGAGAAAGTTCTCATATGTTTTCGGAGACAGATCTTATAGAATTCCTCATCTGACTGAGCGAGAACACAGGCAATCATACCACGGGGCAAAGCTTCTTCCAAACGAGTCAAATATGACGTGGGTGTGTCGTTTTCTTCCCGCTTTGGGATCGGTGGTAGCTCTTGCCTTAAGACGGGGGTTGAGGCGCCACCTATGGTGGGCGAACCGTGACGAGGAAAGGGTGGGGACGAGTTTTGCCTCAAACGCTGCGTGATATTGAACATGTCACCGAAACTCTTGCGGCCACTGGTCGAAGTGGAGGTGCGCGCCGAAGATGCCAAATACGGGGGTATGGACAAGTCGTCTTGGTTCTCGGCTAGCGATCCCATGGTAGACGACCGTCCTCGGTTCTTAAAAGAGGGATTGGATCGAACTGAGCTAGCGGAATTTGTCGAATCATTTCGAAATAGCGGTGATACAGTGGAAGCAGCGAGTCCCACGGGGGACCGAGATGGCGAGGGTAGTGCTGTAACTTGGTCATAGCCATCTGAATTCTCAGATTGTGGAGTATCTACTGGGGGAAACTTTGGTCCATTGTCCACACATACAGCCGGGTGCGAGACTTTGGGGGGTAATGGAAAGAGAGGGCTGCGGGTTCGGGTTAGGCGTGGAATACGGAAACGCTTTGCGGTAGTGGCACTCTGACCATCACGAGGGGAAACGCTTCGGGTAAATGTTTGGTCACTGTAGCTCTGGTCTGACCGAGATGATTCTGAAAATCGGGGATCAATCACTGACGAGCGCTGAGAGTCGCTGGGCTGCGGGTTCCAGCCGCGAAGTGAGTTAATTGACAATCGTCCAGGCTCTTCGGTAATGCTTCGGGACATGGCAAGCGTCGATTCGGTAACCTGGGTGTCGTTTGATCCCTGGCCGCCCCTTCTACGAGACTTCGCCGGTTGTTCCATTGATTTCCGAGACATTTCCTCCATAGATTGTTTTCGTGACAATGGTCGAAAGCTAAGCTTGGGTTTCTGTTTCACGGGCTGATCAAGCTCGTGACAGGTCGGAGCGGTAGTGATAATTCTGGGAGCTTTATTCCGGCAGGCACAGTTAATCAACCCATCCCAGTGAGCGTTGGGGTTGTCAATGTTTCACTTACGAGGCAAGGAGGGAACTGGGGGAGTGTTCTGGCCCGCCTTGACGTAGGACTTGGATAGTTGGGGGTCAGATGCATGTCGCAGTCTCATGAAACTGAATCGCTTGTGGCGTGAGCTGGGACGATCCGATGGTCCTGCAAAGTCCGGCTGAGCTACCCCATGGTTTGACCGGTCGTCGTTGGGTGGATGAAGCCCTGTGTTTAGTCCATCTGGTAAGCCGGATGAGCGAGGAATTGATTCTGATAGTCTAGGTTCGGCGGGGGCGAAGGGACGAGGAAGGTGTTCACTGTGACGGGGTTGGCCTTGAGGTTCCATGGTGCTCTGCCTCTTGCCATCGGCCACGAGGCGCAGTCCTTTCCAATGCATGGTGAAGGACAGAGCGTTAGGACAAACCCAACCTAATGATCCATGAAATGTAATACGTTAGATGGGAATTGAAATAGAGAAGGGCATTGCCCAGGTGGATCCAGACGCGGTGGGATCTGGAGGTCAGCGCAAAAAGGGGAACGCCGGAAGGGGAAACGTTCTAGATTTCTTGTTTCTGCCGCCACGCGTTTTTTTTTTTTTAGTATCACACACAAAAATAGATAGAATCAGAAGAAAGGAGAAAAGAAGAAAAAAAAAATTACTATAACATAGGAGGGGTAAGGCAAACAAGTTAGAATCCAGGCTTAAGCGTCGGATAATTGACCGGGTTTAAGTATAAAGATGAAAAGGATCGGGTTTGATGTACACTGGATATCAAAGGTACTTTTAGCGTCTATATAAATTTTACAGATCAGATAGCCTTGCAGACGAATCTTTTACTTATAGTCAACTCCTTATGTTTTTAGCATCATGTTGGAGTAGATTGACTATACCGATGTACTAACCACTGACGTAGAACCAAAAAAATCAAACAAAATCCAAGTAATCTTGTTTTATCCGGAAGCTGGAATAGAAATTTTCCTTCATTCTACATCAGCTTCTTAACTTTATACTAAAAAAACACTCGTGGACTATATCTGCGTTATCTCCTCCCCCCCCCCGCCCC